AATGAAAAAAATAATAAAAATATAAAAAAAGAAAATCTACTTCATTCTGTTAGTTATTAGCATTCTTGAAAAATATGTTGTCATTTGTTATTCAACGCATTTGCCTGGTTGTAATATAACTTATGAAATACCTAAGATTTCTCCAAAAAGATATTACGAAAATTAACTCTAATTGCAGCATGTGAACAATATTTCTACGAATAGAAAGTTCCAAGCAAATGTGTTTGTGTTGTAGGTTCTGGGAAGTATCTGGCTGTGGCCTCTCATGACAGCTTCATAGACATATATAATGTGATGAGTAGTAAGCGAGTCGGGATATGCAAAGGAGCCACCAGTTACATCACCCACATTGATTGGGATGTTAGAGGTAAGACCTCAGTAACTTAATCTTTGATAAAAGCTTCATTTGATTTAATATAGCTATTTAAAGAAATAGAAGCATGATCCAGCAAATAGGTTCAAAAGCCTTGGGAAAGACTGGGTGTGGTGGCCTTTAATCCCAGCCTTTGGGAGGTAGAGGCAGGTGGATCTCAGGTGAAACTTGAGGGGAGCAAAGACTTGAGAATACAATTATTATTCTCACAATTGATTTCCAGTGCTTTATTTTATCTGAAAGTAAATACTATAGAGATTCAGACTTTTTAGTAGTTCATCTAATGCTAGAATAGTAAATGATAAGTTGTTTTATTTTAAAGTAATCTAAATTTTATATAAGGAAGAATTTTAGTCATAATATAATTATTTTGAGATAATCCTCCAGAGAAGACCACTCAGACACAGAAGATAGCTAAAAGAAAGTCTTTATAGTGGGCCGGTGACTACACTGGGCATTCAGGTCCCAAGTGTTGCCCCAAGCCTTTCTCAGCGTGGGCTTTTATACAGAAAAATCAAAGCCACCCCCCCCAACAGTTTCTCATAGCTCAGGGATGGAAAAGTTCCTAACAGTTTCTTCCTGCAAGTGCAAGCCAAGCAAAAAATACAAAAGCTTTAGAAAAGCCAGAGCAACCAGGCACATGCTGACCTTTTTCTCAAACCCATATCCTGGTAACTGGGCCAAACTCTGAGCCAGCTACCTTTTGGTTACATTTGCTGGGAGCTGCTAGGGCTGCAACATGGAGTACCTATTGTCAGTCCTGAGGTGCCTCATCACATAATGCCCAAACTTCTGTCAGATAAATTGGAAAAAAATCAAATTTGGAAATAGAAATGTTAATGGGGATTTTAAAAGTACATCGTCATTTATTTATTTATTTATTTATTTATTTATTTATTTATTTATTTATTTTTGGTCTTCTTGAGTCATGGTCTCCCGATAACCCTAATTGGCCTGAAACTCACTGTGTAGACCAAGCTGACCTTGATTCACCTGCCTCTGCCTCCCAAATGCTGGGATTAAAGGTGTATTCTATCATACCTAGCTCTTCTGTCATTTTATATAAAATACATTTCCTAAAAAGTAGACGTAATTTGCCCGGCGTGGTGGTACATGCCTTTAATCCCAGCACTTGGGAGGCAGAGGCAGGTGGATCTCTGTGAATTCAAGGCCAGCCTGGTCTACATAGTGAGTTCCAGGCCAGCTGGAGCTACAGGGAGACCCTGTCTCAAAAAGACCAAAAAAAAAAAAAAAAAAAATAGACATAATTTTATGACAAAGTCTTTAATGAGTATCTTTTTTTTTTTGCAAAATGCATAGCATGGAACAATATTTGAAAAGTTTGGATAAATGTTAAATATTTTAACTGCCCTCATTCTTAAGGATTATATTTCACATTTCAACTTCATAAATTTAATATTATAAATTAAGGTTTTTCAAATATTGTTAGACAGAATACTTGTACTTTTAAAAAATTCCAACATTTGTTTCAAATTTTTAAATGTGAATAACAACTGAAATCGTTTTTATGTATCTATCTACAAAAAAAATAAACCATTTATGAATTAAATCAGTTATATGGAGATTAAGAAAATGCAGTGCTCTTAATATATACAGAGAGAAGTGATCTGTATTTATATATGCATTTATGTATTTCAACAGTGTTGTGTTACTGAGCCCAGGGCTTTGCATATGCTAAGCAAGTGCTCTACCACCAAGCTATGTCCCAAGTCAATTTTTTCTTTTTCCTTTTGACACAGGGTCTTACTAATTTACACAGGCTTTCCTTAAACTCACTCTGTAGTTCAGGCAGTCTTTGAACTTGTGAACCTCCTGTCGTAGCCTTCTGAGCAGCTAGAAATACAAGCCTGTACCAGAAGACCTGGTAGTTTTATATTTAAGCTTAATTTCTCCTATAAAATATAAGCAACACACTACAGCCAATGTAAAAACGCAACTATCAATTCAAAGAGAGTAAGAGATAGTTTATTCTGGAGCCAAATACATCTGTGGGAACACAGATTCAGATTATACCAAATACCATGTTCCAGTGTGATAACAGTTTTAACAAACTTTTTTATAGTAATAGAACAAGGAAAGTCATAAATCAAGAGACGTTTTAAATACATTGATAGGTATATCAGTCAGGTCAGCACTTTACAGCAAAGAGGGAGTCTCTGTTTTAGCCTCAGATGCTATCTGTTGGCATCCTTAGTCTTTGGGTTGGTGGAAGCAAGGGTTTTTGTCCATTCCAAAAGGGTTTACTTAACTAATAGATGTTAGATCGTACATAGAGGCTAGTAGTATATGACCCTGACTAAAGATATCCCATGATAATTTGGCTCCAGACTTGTAACATTCCAGCTCTCCATAGTTACACGAGTTCTCATCTGCTTTGTGGGATGTTTGTCACAGATTATGTTGTTTTTCTTTCCTGGAAGCCTCAGTTCACATTAGTGATGTTTGTATTTCTATTTTTTTAATTTTAAATTTTTTCTTTTAAGGAAAGCTTTTACAGGTCAACACTGGTGCTAAAGAACAGCTATTCTTTGAAGCTCCCAGAGGGAAAAAACAAAGCATCCCCTGTGTGGAGGTAGGAAGACACTGCTGCCTTTAGTGGTGTTTGTATGATTGAGTGTGGTTGAAAACCAATGCCTCCTTTCCATGATTCACCTGTGTGTGATGCTCATTCTCACATTATTTGAACTAAAGCTATTCTGTGAAGAGTTTATTTTACTGGGATAGATAGAGCACATAATTGAGTAAAGGAAGATAGATGCTGTTTTAAGAAAAGGAACATATAAACTTTAGCCATACCTGAATCACTTTCCTCAAACTGAAGAAGCAGCCCTCAGTAAATAGAGAGGATGCCATCTCCTTTGAAGTGCTGTATGTCTGACATGTCTTTTGAAGCCCATGTATCTAAGAAAGTTGTTCTGACAATGTGGGGAGCGAGGGGCAGACAGAATGGAGGTGGTGGTGGGGATTGTGCTTAGATTTGTGCCTGATAATATTAGTATGACCTCAGAAGAGATGCTGAGCAAATTAACTTGAAAGTGGCTTAATAAAGGAAGGGACTCTCAAAGCTCTTAATTTCTAGAATGACTAGTTTGGAAAACATGCTTATAATCCATTAATAGAATTTAGACATGAAATTAAGCATGTTTTCTTGAATAATATGAGGGTAGAAACAGTCACTGTATGCTCAGTAGCTATAGTGTAGTGGTTATATAAGAAGTAGGACCCAGATTATATTATGCTGAAACTTCTGTGCAGGCAGTAGGCTCTGGGAAGCTATAAAACCAACCAGTGATTAGCAATTTTCCTGCTAAAGTTTTACTTGCGTCATAGAAAAAAGTTCAGATTTGGGTTATTAACTTAAATATTACAAACTTAAACAGCATTTTTTATGTTTTTAGGTGGAAAAAATTAGTTGGGCTTCATGGACAAGTGTGCTTGGTTTATGTTGTGAGGGAATTTGGCCAATTATTGGAGAAGTCACAGATGTAACTGCCTCTTGCCTCACCAGTGACAAAATGGTCCTAGCTACAGGGGATGATTTGGGATTTGTGAAGTTATTTAGATATCCAGCTAAGGTAAGTGTTTTTTCTTAACTTACCTAATGATAATTATTATGAAAATGGTTAGGGTAAAGTCTTTTCATAGCATTTCATTGTAATATGAATAATGCATTAAATAGCATGTAATGTATCACCAAAGGTTTGGAATCATGTTTCCTATTCTTGGCATTATATTTAGAGTTTTTATCTAAAGTAACTGTTATAGTAATCTAAGCTATGCCTTAATTTATGTTATATTGTACAGTGTTTTTCATTATTAAAAAATATAAATATCTCTTTTAAAAGAAATACTGCTTTTGGGGGGGCTAGAGAGATGGCTCAGCAATTAAGAGCACTGCTCTTGCAGAGGACCTGGTTCGATTCCCAGCACCCACATGGCAGCTATAAACTGTCCTTAACTCCAGTTCCAGGGGAATCCGAAGCTCTCTTCTGACCTCCGCAGCATTGCACAACACGGGTGCACTCACATGCATACAGGCAATACACTCATACACATAAAATAAAAATAGAAAATAAATATTTCTTTTATCGCAAATATTAACTTAAATATTTTTATAATTATAAATAAAATATAATTTAAACATATATCATTAAGAGTCAGTGTGCTGGACAGTTTTAGTGTCAACTTGATGCACCTCGGTTGAGGGAGCCTCAGTTGGGGAATTGCTTCTATTGGACTGGCCCGTGGCCATGTCTGAGAGGCATCTTCTTGATGAGTGATGTGGGAGGGCCCAGCTCACTGTGGGTGGTGCCACCCCTGGGCAAGTGGGCCTGTGTTGCATAAGAAAGCAGGCTGAGCAGGGGCCAGGGGAGCAAGCCAGTAAGCAGCATTCCTCCATGGCCTGTGCTCTAGCTCCTGCCTCCAGGTTCCTGCCCTGAGTTCCTACCTTGGGCTCCCAGATGAACTGTGACCTGGGAGATGTAAGATAAAATAAAACCTTTCCTCCCCAAGTTGGTAGTGGTCAGAGTGTTTTGTCACAGCAATGAAGAAACATCCCGAACAGTCAGCGTAAACCTCATAGAAAATGTTTTAAAACCAATTAAATAGAAAACACTTAAATACCTAAAAAATGAAATAACATTGATTTCATGTGATGAACAATTTTTTTTCTGAAACCAAATAGTACAGATTCCTTATAGTTCTATAGAACATAGGCTATGTTCTATATATGTTCAGTTAATTTTTTTTTTACTGTTCTCGCTTCAAACTTCTGCAAAGCATGAGACTTTGCTTAGCACAAAATGAAATTTATGTATGAGTACAGATGTATTTACTTTCTTATTATCATAAGTTTTATATTGTAATCTATCTAGCACCAATATGAACATAAACAAAAATTTGAAGTAGGATACGGAAGGAATATTGCAGTATCAGGGCATGGTAATCTTAACTGCCTATATTAACATTTAAAAAAATATTTTATTATTTTTATTTTATGTGTATGAGTATATTGCCTGCATGTGTGTAAGTGCAATCATGTCATGCACAGCCCACGGAGGTCAGAGGATGGTGTTGGATTCCTCTGGAACTGGAGTTATGCACAATTGTAGTTGCCATGTGGGTTCTGGGAATTGAACCCGGGTCCTCTGCAAGAGCAGTCAGTGCTCTTAACCGCTAAGCCAACTCTCCAGCCCCGAAAACATAGGTTTAAAATTTACTGGGAACTCAGGCACTCAAGAACACATCCTAGACCTGGGGATGTAGCTTAGTGATAAAGTGCTTGCCTAGTATGTCTGATCCCTAATGGGAGGAAGGGAAGGGAGGAGGAGAGAAGGGAGAGAAGAGAGATCGTTGTAGCAAGAACCGTAGAATCTTAGAGAAATTACCATTTCACTGTGGAGAATCCTCCCTTCTTAATTAAAAAAAAAAAAAAAACAACCAATTTTTAATTACATTTATTTGTAAGGGAGAGCATGTTCATGCCACAGCATGTGTTCATGTGGAAACCAGACAACTTGTAAGAGTTAGTTGACTATATCCAACCTGTGAGTTCTGGGGATCAGACTCAGTTCATCAGGTTGATGGCAAGTACTTTTACTGCTGGGTCATTCTCTGACTTATGAAACAGGGTCTTACATTGTAGCTCTGCTGGCCTGGAACTTGCTATGAAGACCAGGCTGGCCTTGAAGGACAGAGATCTGTCTGCCTCAGCCTCCCCAGTGCTGGGATTAAAGGCCTGTGCCACTACACATGGCAGTCCCCCTAACTTTTATTCTGTCTTTTTTCTCAGAGAATTCAGAATTCACTGATTTTGTTCATCATTTTTTTATTTTTTTAAGTTTGCATTTTTATTTATTGGGGGAGGGTGCACAGATGTGTGGCATAGTGTGTGTGGAAGTTGGAGGACAACTTGCTGAAGCTGGTTCTTGCCTTCCACCCTATGAGTTCTGGGCATGGAACTCAGGTCGTCAGACTTGGTGGCAGGCACCTTTACCAGTTAAGCCATATCACTGGCCACTCTGTTTTGTTCATTTAAGGCACCTTATTTTAACACCTTTGAAAAGATGTCCACCTAAAACCTGCTTATGATTTATTGACCTGAAATTCCTTGTAGAACTTAGTAATGCTCATTTCTAGATTTAAATTTTCCAGTGTCTATAACTTAAAGTTTTCTTGATATTTAAAAGGAAAGTACAGAGCTGAGAGTATAGTTTTGCAGTAAGTGCCTGCCCAGCATGTGTGAAGCACCAAATATCATACACACACACACACACACACACACACACACAGAGAGAGAGACACACAAGAGAGAGAGAGAGAGAGAGAGAGAGAGAGAGAGAGAGAGAGAGAGAAATCTGTGTATGTAGTACTTATAAAAGAAAGCACTAGGGGCTGCAGAGATGGCTAAGCAGTTAAAAGTACTGACTGCTCTTGCAGAGGACCTGGGTTTGGTTCCCAGCACCCACATAGTGGCTAACAACTATCCTTAACATCAGTTCCAGGAATATAATGCCCTCTTCTGGCTTCTGCAGGCATTGATGACACAGATGCACTTACATATATACAAGCAAAATAGTCATACAGATAAAATAAAAATAAATAAATCAGAAAAAGAAACATTAATGAATTAAAGTGAAATATGTTTCTATGTGTATAGTGTATATATTTTATGTATATTGACAAAATGAATGATAATTTTGTTTATAGCTATGCTCTGCATAGCGTTTGTAAGTTGTTTTTATTTACAACAGCAATATATGTATATGACCGTTGTTTTTATTTTTTACCTTTTTTGTTTTTATTTTTGGGGGGCCTTTTTGAGACAGAGTCCCCCTATAACCCCCAGCTGGCTTTGAACTCACGGAGATCCACTAACCTCTTCCTTCTGAATGCTGAGATTAATTAAAAGTGTGCACCACCATGTCCACCTAGCATTTTCTTAATACAGCTCTCTAGAAAGGAGTCAAATTAAGAACATTTTTATGGGCTGACAAGATGAGTCAGACCCTTGCCATGCAAACTTGCCACCTGAGTTCATGCCCCCTAGAATGCACATAAAGGTAGGAGAGAACTGATTCACATGGTTGTCCTCTTCCTCATACATGCCATGACACACGTGTCCAACACATATAGCACAAGCGGATATACACGCATACACAAATAATAATTTTTTAAATAAAAAAGAACATATTTATGCTCTTAATGCAGAATATTATCAATTTGGTTCCAAAGGCATTAATGTTGTTAGTAATGTGCGAAACTACTAATATTACTCTTTAATATTATCAGGTTGGGAATTGGTATTTTTTTAATTCTAGCAAATGTCACTGTTTTGTCATGGGTTTTTATACATGTTACACTTGGACTCTTTTAATTTCTAGTAATATATTAAAGAAATAAAGCTGGTTGTGGTGGCATATATCTTTAATCCCAGCACTCAAGAGGCAGAGGCAGGTAGATCTTTGTGAGTTCAAGGCCACCTGGTCTACACAGTGAGCTCTAGGCCAGCTGGGGCTACAGGGAGACCCTATCTCAAAACAAAAACAACAACAAAAAAGAAATAAAATATAACAAACTATAATTAGTTCAAAATTTCACAACAAAAGTTTTGAATGCTGAAATTTTTTTAGAGTATTTGAATTTGATTTTATCTTCAGGGAAAATTTGGGAAATTTAAGAAGTATGTGGCTCATAGTACACATGTCACAAATGTTCGCTGGACCTATGATGACAGTATGCTGGTTACCCTGGGAGGTGCAGATACGTCTTTAATGGTATGGACAACTGAAACGGAGAGCTATCGAGAAAGAAAGCCTTGTGATAGTGAAGAATCTGACATCGATTCTGAAGAAGATGGAGGCATGTCATTTAAAAACAATGTAACAAAAATATAGAAAAAATTAGCTCCACTGTTAAAACTACAGAAGTTAAAAATAGTTTTTGAATAATTGTGCTATTAGTGTTTTGTGTCAGTTTTACAACAGAATTATTTTGTGACTCATGACTGGCATGTAGTGATGACTTAGGTATTAATCATCTATAAGGCAATCATTTTAAGTAATTACTGTTAAAACTTTGTATTATTGGATTTCATATTTAAAACTTATTTATTATTTTTATTTTATGTGTATGCGTGTATTTACTGCATGTAGATAAGTGCACCCGTGTCATGCAGTGTCCACAGAGGACAGAAGAGACTGTCAGATACCCTGGAACTGGAGTTATGGACAGTTAGCTGCCATGTGGGTGCTGGGATTCAAACCTGGGTCTTCTGCAAGAACATTGTTCTTAACCACTGCACTATCTCTCCAGCCCCATATTTAAAACTTTATTTTTATGTATATGGATGTTTTGCCTGCATGTATATAAGTGTACCACTACCATTTGTGTGCATTGCTCACAGATGTTAGAAGAGGGTGTTGGATCCCCTGGAACTAGAGTTATAGACAATTGTTAGCTGCCATGTGGGAACCAAACCCAGGATCTCTGCAAGAGCAGCCAGTGTTCTTAACCACTAATCCATCTCTCCAGCCCTTGGATTTCATATTTTAAAATAATTTTTGATTTTTTTAATATGCCAGTAATACCAGCTCATTAAAGAAAATTTATTTTGTAATAAAAACATAGGAATAATAATTCAATCATTTAGACTTAGATTAACAGTTGAGGGCCTATTCTAGTGTATATGTGTACTTACATATATAAAATGTTTTAATGAAAATGGAATCATATTGAACTCATTTTGTAGCTTGCTATTATTTAGTGATACTTAGTATCATTACATATTATTAAATATTCACATAATTTTTTGCTAGTTGCCTTTGTAATAATGTGGCTATAACAGTTCATTCCATATTGTTGAAAGAAGTTGAATTTGTTGAATTTATAAGATTGCAATTGACTACCTTAATTATCACTTAATAACATTATATTTTCATGATAGGCTATGACAGTGATGTCACAAGAGAGAATGAAATCAGTTACACCATCAGAGCCTTATCAACTAATATTCGCCCAATGCTTGGAGTCAAGCCTCATTTGCAACAAAAAGAACCATCAATTGATGAGAGGTAATTATAAAGTTTAAAGTTAGATGAGGAAAATGTTATTGGTATAAAAGGTGAATTATTTACTCTAAATGAATTTTCTGTAAAAACTAATAGTAGTATTGATTTATGCAGTTGTGAGTCACTGTTAGAAAATGTTTGTCTTTAAATACTTTTTGGTAGTGACACTGTCTCTGCAAGTACCTTAGGGATGTTACATCTATATATATGAAGTTGCTATGATTGGACTCATCTTCATTGCTGAGTTTCAGAAGTGTATTTGGTGGATTTGGGAGAGATAATAAAGATCGAATCCAGTACCGTGTGCCTTTTAGGAAACGTGAGCCAAGATGTGACTCAGTTTTCATGCATCTTTAATGAAGGATCAGCAATCACTATTTCAAAAATTTACCAAAAGGCACGTTGAAGCATAGCTTGCCTTTAATGGAAATCATCGGTCTTGGTGTAGAGTCAACACATCAAAAATAAGCTTAGATGAAGAGCAATTTTATGAGAAGAGGACTTTTGTGAGTGTGTTCATCCACATGCATATGAGTGCATGTGGGTACATACATGCATGCAAGTGCTTGTAGAGGCCAAAGGATAGAGTCCTACATGCTCCTGGGACTCTTCTCATACAAACTTACAGCAATGGTGTCATCATGCCCAAGATCCATGCCAACTTCAAGCAGACAAAAACCCAGCACAGAATTGTGGAAATGGACAGCAGGCCCCAATCTTAGTGGAAGAATTATTGGCAGCTGATTACTGCTGGGTGAGGAAGAACTGATCTTCTTAAGGGGAGGGACTCTAGATAGGCTGTCTAGATGTGGATAAACCTGCACTGAGGGACATCTGAGGACACTAACTTTACATGATAGGCCTTAACACAAATGACAGAAGGTATGAACTCCAGTGGGAGGGCTTTGAGAGGGTTCCAAAGGGGAAGGGAGTATAAAGATGGTCTTCTGTATGAAATACACAAAAATTCAATAAAAAATTTGTTTCAAAAAACAGCAAACAAAACAAGCATATGGCACAGACTTCAGACATGAAGAGGATTTTAAGAAATAAGGAAGGGGCTGGAGAGATGGCTCAGTAGTTAAGAGTACTGACTGTTCTTTCAGAAAACCCAGGCCTGATTCCCAGCACCCACATGGCAGCTAACAACCATCCATAACTCCAGTTACAGGGGACCCAGCGCCCTCTTCTGACCTCCACAGGCATTGCACGACATGGGTGTACCTACCTCCATGCAAGCAATACACCACTCATATACATAATATAAAATTAAAAGAAATAAGGAAACAGATTATCCACAAACTGAGAAACAAAGAGGTGGGGCTGGCAGTGATTTCTGAAGAAGGCTGTGATGAGGAAAACTTTAATATAAGAAGGTAATGTTTGGGCTGGAGAGATGGCTCAGTGGTTAAGAACACTGGTTGTTCTTGCAGAAGACCCAGATTCGAATCTCAGCACCTACATGGCAGCTAACAACTGTCCGTAACTCCAGTACCAGGGGATCCGACAGCCTCTTCTCACCTCCGTCGGCATTGCATGACACAGGTGCACTTACCTACATGCAGGCAATACATGCATACACACAAAATAAAAATAATAATTTTTTTTAATTAAAAAGAAGGTAATGTTTGATAGAAAAGCTAAAATATAAAACCTATGGGTTTAATATTCAGGCAAAGGAATAAAGTTAGAAGTGAGCTGCACCTAGTAACCTGAAGGAGACAGCCAGCTCTGAGGACTGCACTGGTGCCAGTGCTGCCAGGGAAGCATAGGTGGGACACCTCCTCGGTGCCTTCCTGTTTCAGGGGCTCCTTCCTGTGCTTTCAGGAGCTCCTTCCTGTTTGTCTTAGTAGCTCCTTCCTGTGGTTTCAAGAGCCAGTCTGTCCACAGGATACTAAAGAACAAGCAGAAAGTAGACATGCATTTTGTTCTGTGTGAAGAGGCACAATATAAAATGATTTCTGGGAAAGTTGTTCACACCACACTCTGAATGCTTGCATTAAAATTCCAGGGTGAAGCAGCTTGCTAGAAGACAGCATCGTCTAGTGCAAAGGACCTAGTCTTTAGAGCCAGACAAATGGCTAAAATACTTATTTTTGTCATTTACCAGTTGTATGACCTTGAAAAAAATACTCATTCTAGGCCAGGTGTGGTGGCTCATGCCTTTAATCCCAGCACTCAGGAGACAGCAGCTGTCGGATCTTTATGAGTTCAAGGCCAGCCTGGTCTAAATAGCAAGTTCCAGGCCAGCTGGGGCTACAGGGAGACTGTCTCAAAAAAACCAAAAAAAAAAAAAAAAAAAATCATTGTAAACCTCGGTTTCTTCACTGACAGTATGAAGGTTGTGATCCCTAAGTTTGAATTATTTTAAGTTCTAAATAAAATATTGTATATCAGAAATTAAGAAAGTAAATCTTTACCAGTGACACCTGTCTTTGGAATGAAATACAGAGTAACGAGTAACCTGAGACAATAGCCCATACAATACAGAAACACTGTTCTAAAATTAAATATTCATAAAATAATTAGTACTGCCTGTATGTTTATTAATTGCAGGGAATACATACAAATATACAAATGTGGAATTTTTTAAATAGAATAATTGAATAATTATTCATATTAACTGAGGGAAATTTTATCTCCTAATAAAAAGTAGAAAGTGTTCTGTAAGGAAGAAAGAACTGTATAGTCCCCTAAATCTCTTTTATATGTTTATTGATTTTTTTTTTAAAAAGAAAAACCTTATAATTTATCAGAACAGTTTGGCATATAACCTAACTTTACTCTAGAAGCCATCAATCATGGTAAAACAGATTTCCTCCCTCATTGATGTGGAAACCCATATCATGACAGATGGAAATAGTTTCCTGCTCATGAAAAGTTGATTAACACTCTCATGACTATAATCTTGCTGTTACTTTAGACTTTCTTTTTTAAATTGTTTTTGTTTTTGAGACAGGGTGTCACTATGTACTCTAGGCATTCTTGGAACTTACTATGTCCTATATCACAGGCTGACCTCAAACTTACATTTCCCCTGTCTCTGCCCCAAGTGCTGAGATTCCAGATGTGAGCCACTAAACCCAGCTCCAGCTTGGATTTTCTGCATCTAACTTCTCAAAATTAGTTTTTATTTTTATTTTTGTATTTTGTTCTAATTTTTTCAGGGTCATTTCTGCTAAATCCTTTTGAAAATTCTGAGGCAGAAGTAGTCACTAATGTGGCACAGAGTCTTCATTTTTATGAAATAATGGAATCAAAGGAGATAAAAATTGAGATATAATCCCAGCACTTGGGAGGCAGAGGCAGGCGGATCTCTGAGTTTGAGTCCAGCCTGGCCTACATAGCGAGTTCCAGGTCAGCTGGGGCTACAGGGAGACCCTGTCTCAAAAAGACCCAGAAAAAAAAAAATTGAGATTTATTTTTGCCAATTCTGAATATATTACTCAGAACATAATGTAGTTGTATTTAAATAGTAGTTTTGGGACTGGAGAGATGGCTCAGCGGTTAAGAACACTGGTTGTTCTTGCAGAAGACCCAGGTTCGAATCCCAGCACCCACATGGCAGCTAACAAGTGTCTGGAACTCCAGCCCCAGGGGATCCGACAGCCTCTTCTATCCTCGGCGGGCATTGCACGACACCTGTGCGCTTACGTCTACATACAGGCAATACACGCATACACATAAAATAAAAGTAATAAATACTTTTTTTAAAAGTTTAAAATAGTTTTGTATTTTAAACATCAAATACTTTATCTACTTTAAATATGTCTGATAATTGGTTGCTAATCTCTACGGTTAATAATTTTGTGGGCATTTTTTCCTATATGATTTTAATAATGTCTTTCTTTTTTGGTAAATATTTTTGTAGTGAGCCTTTTGCATGTAGGGTAGTTAATTTTCATCAGTCCAATTTCTAATATTTTAATTGAAATATCCAAAACAATGTGTTTGCTAAACTGCTGTATATATTCACCATCAGTATGTATTTTCCTACCTTTTTCTCCTATGCCTTTCAAAGACAGGGGGTAGTAAGGTAAGTGTTTTTATTAAAGAACTTACTTTTTTAAATATTTATTATTCTGTTTTAATCTTTAGAGAATATTGCAAGGTATTACTTTTTCCTATAAAATATTTACATTTGACAAAAAAGAATTAGGAAATGCAATAGACAAATCCACATTTCACATGTGGTTATTCCGAAGATAGCCCTTCGTTATGATAATTCAGTTTTACAAAGGATTTCTTATAAACCACTGCACACTAGTTGTAGTACTTCCCTATTTGCTTATGAAAACAAATGTAGCCATAATATTTAGCATTGGAAGACTATTTCATTTTATGGATGTCCCATTTAATGATGTTTAACCTACTCATTCATTTAAAAACATTGAAATGGGGTAATTATGATATTTTATGTTTAATAAAATTACGTGGATGAGAAAGACTCTTGAAGTACTTATTTATAGCTACCTGAGGAAAGGTGAAAATGTCTTCAGAGAGTTTCTGAAGCAGGGCATCATGGAGAGAGTCCATTCAGAAGTAAACAGAGGGAACACTAGGAAAATGCTGGGCAATAAGGATGAAGTTACATTTGAAACCAGATTGTTGAGAAACTTGGTATCTGTGAGTAATTTATTTGATAACAGGAATTATCTATGAAATTGATTATGTATTTTAAACAGAATAACATATGTAAAAATGAGTCCAGAGTGTGACTTGAAGCTGGGCATAGTGGCACATGCCAGCACTTGGAGGCAGAAGCAGATCTCTCTGAGTTCAGGGCTAGCCTGGTCTGTATAGTAAGCCCATATAATCTTATACTATTTATCAGAAACTTCATCTAGATCAAGTCCCATGTCTAAAGTAGTTTGTTTGGTACTGATTTCTGCATTCAAAGGGAGACTGACAGTTTTAAGTGTTGTAGAAGCACAGGATGAAGGAAGGTTTCCATGAAGGTTTCCATGAAGGAAACCATGAAGGTTTCATTTGAAAAATGGTCAACTATTTAGGACCCACTTGTTGGAAAACAAGAACGCTAAGTGGAGATATAATTGCCTTCTTGGATATGAATAGCTTGTTATGTAGAAATGACCTCCTTGTCACAAGCATACTCATGCACTTTAGATGAACATGTGGCATGAGAGCTATAAAAGGATGCTCCAAACAGACCTAAGAATGGCACCCTATAAAATCTATAACAGAACATTTTGAATTCTCAGGCGTCTTCTTTTTCTACTTTCTTCTGATTTCTCTGCCATTAATGGAATATTTCAAGCTTTTCCTATATATAACAAGCCTTTAATGTATAAAATGCAATTTATGATAAACAAAAAATTTAATTGCAGGAGATACTATAATATCGTTTAAATTCAATTTGTATTATAATCTTTTTCCCTTTTTATCTGCTACTGGAAAGAGGTTCCAGGTAATCTTCTCCTTGCTATGCTTATAAGATCTAGTTTTATGTTTTTATCTTCTTTCATATTTGCCATTAATGAGCTATATGACTTGGTTTTCTTTACCTTTATACAGTTCTCCTTGCTTTCTTCCCTTTAGAATTGATATCCCTGAAATGAGTACCATCTTAATTATTTGACTTACATAAGTAATTACATTACTAAGACTTTATGCACCAAATTTGTATAATTTTATGTTATGTGATTTTATTTTAAGCAGTAATATGCTTTATGTAAATGATCCTTATAAAAATTAAAATGCTTAATTTTTAAAATATATTTTATTGAATTTTTGTGGATTTCATGCAATACTTTTTTTTTTTTTTTTGTCTTTTTGAGACAGGGTCTCCCTATAGCCCCAGCTGTCCTGGAACTCACTATGTAGATCAGGCTAGCCTTTGAACTCACAGAGATCACCTGCCTCTGCTTCCCAAGTGCTGGGACTACTGGCGTGTGCTACCATGCCTGGCATGCAATACATCTTAATCAAATTTAGCCCTCCTTTCCCTAGCTGCACCACCCCCCATAGCCTTCCCAAAGGACTTCATGAATTTTGTCATATATGTTAAGGCCTGTTGTGTTAAGTTTGTGTACCTGGATGTTCCTCTGTGTGATTTCATCCATTGGAGCCTGTTTAGCCTGTCTAGTATCAATCCCTTAAAGAATATCATCTCAAGATGTGATGCTTCATTTAGTTATAGAAATACATAACTTGGGGCTGGAGAAATGGCTCAGAAGTTAAGAGCACTGGCTACCCCTGCAGAGGACCTGGGTTCCGTTCCCATCATCCACATGGAGGCTACCAACCATCTGTAACTCCAGTTCCAAGGAATCTGTTACTCTGTTCTGACCTCCGTGAGCATTGCAGAACATGGGTGCACTTACATACATGCAGGCAATACACTCATACACATCAAATAAAAATAATAAACAAAATATTTATATATAACTTAACAATAAATTTAAAGTGCATTTATATAGCTTTAATAAATGCTAGACCAAGGTTGAAGAGATTCCTCAGCAGTTAAAAACACTTACTGTTCTTCCAGAATCTAAATCAATTCTGCATTAATCAGATATTAATCAATTCTGCATTAATTGATATCCAGTACTCACATGGAGGCTATCAGCCATCTGTAACCCAGTTCCTGGGGATTAGACACCCTCTTCTGGCCTCTGTGGGTATTGCAGCATATGGTGCAATTACATACATGCAGGCAAAACACTCATACACGTAAAAATTAAAATAATAAAATATTTTTTAAATGCTAGAATTTTTCATTAAAAAGTTAATATCATTTCTGATTTAAATCTTAGAGAGGGGTTAATGCAGGATTGATTTAGATTCAGTGTTCAGGTTATAAGACAATTGTATAATGGTGAATGTAAACTAATAAGCAAAATTTTAAAACATTTTATTATTTTTATTTCATGTGTATGAGTGTATTGCCTGCATATGTATACATGCACCTATGTCATGCAGTACCTATGGAGGTCAGAAGAGTGAATCAGATCCCCTGGAACTGAAGTTAAGGACAATTAGTCATCATGTGGGTGCTGGGAACTGAACCCACGTCCTCTGCAAGAGCAGTCAGTGTTCTTAACTGTTGAGCGATCTTTCCAGTCCCATATGCAGATTTTTTTTTTTTTTGGTCTTTTTGAGACAGGGTCTCCCTGTAGCCCTAGCTGTCCTGGAACTCACTATGTAGACCGGGCTGGCCTTGAACTCACAGAGATCTGCCTGTCTCTGCCTCCCGAGTGCTGGGATTAAAGGCGTGTGCCACCACGCTCGATCTTATAGATTTTTAAACCAAAGAAAAGGGTTTACCAAAGTGCCTCTACATTTATGATTCAAAATGTTTTAAGTAGATTCTAAGCAAATGAGAGAAGTAGATCCAAGAGCTATCATGTAGGAAGAGGTGATAAATGATAAATAATCCAGAGGAGTATTTGGCGATAATTCCAAATGACCTTTTATGGAGTGTTGTATGGTTTGCAGTGGGTTGTAACTATCAAATGTCTTCCTTGAATAACTGTCAATGCCATTAGTCAACATTAGGGAATTCAAGAAGCAGATAATAAAGGACCTGGGTAATGAGGAGCATGGAGGGATGTTGTTATAAATTTGAACTCAGCTGTGATTTATGTTGCCAACAGTATAGAAAGTTCATGGAAATATTATCCGAATTCACTGCCAATCAGAGTGTTTTGTATATCTGTTATATGAGAGGTAAGAGATACTTTAGAACAGTAATCCAGGCTTTGTTGATAATGTACCTATCCAAAAATACTTGAATATGTCAAGCTAATATTCTTACATTTGCTTACAAACAACCTCCTATATTATTTACATTATGAGATAAAGACTAAAGAAATTAAAAATGAATAAAAAATTTGTATCTCTCTACTTTTCTGCAGTAGAAGTTGTAAAGATACAGAGGGCACAGTCTAGTGGAACCAGAGTGGGCTCCCTTTGGGGGAAGGTATGATCTCTCTGGAGGACAGGTGTGGGTACCCAGTGCAGGCCCCAAGTGACACTGCCTTTCCTTCCCCCACCTCTCTGTTTAAGGCCCCCAGTGAGTAGGGCCCCACCACAGCCAGAGAAACTTCAGACAAACAACGTTGGCAAGAAAAAGAGACCCATAGAGGTAAGAAAACCGACTCTCCAAATACTCCAGGTTCTTTTTTGTAAAACACCCAAGTTTTGCTATTAATTTTCAAGAAGCCAGGTATATTGAATTCTTTTTCATTTGGTTATAAAAATTGATTGCTGAGTTTTAGATTGTTACCTGTTTCTCTTAATTTTTTAAATGAATCTCCCTGTTAGTGTTCCGTAAGTAATGCTCTGAATTGATCTGGATCCTCAAGTACTTTTTTTTTTTTTTCCCTCAGATTTATTCTCAAGTACTTCTAACTGTAAATTTATGTGCAGGATCTAGTGCCTGAGAAGCACAGACATCTTGGCAATGTCTTCTACTTTGTGGGTTGATTTTATAAGTTAAAAGTTAAATACTATATCAGGAACATTTACCTCATGTGATATGTTTAATATACTGGGTACATGGAGACTGTTTCTCAAAAAAAACCCACAGGCATCTTAAGGCCGGCAGCAGCAGCAAACAAGCTATTCTACATCCGGTATGGAAAAGGTATAAAGCTGTAGGAGGGGTGATTATTGTAGCTCTCTCCCTTCACCCATAAGGATGAATGAAAGGATACTTTTGCATGAGAATTTTACCATAAGTTGTCAGAAACAAATTTGAATTCCTCAGGGTACCTAATTTGGACATAATTTATCCTGAGTTATGTACGCAGAGCAGTACTTTGACTAAAAATGAATACAAATTGATGGAGCTGGAGAGTTCAGTGGTTAAAAGCACTGGCTGCTGGTGCAGAGTACCTGGGTTGGGTTCCCAGCAACCACATGGAGGCTAACAACTGTCGATAGCTCTAGTTCCAGAGGATCCAACGCCCTCTTTTGGTCTCCTCTAGCATTGCATTGCAAGCAAACACTTAAGATAAAAATAAATTAATTAAAAAAATTTTAAATAAGGGCTGGGCATGGTGGTGCATGCCTATAATCCCAGCACTCGGGAGGCAGAGGCAGGTGGATCTCTGTGAGTTCAAGGCCAGCCTGGTCTACATAGTGAGTTCCAGGACAGCTGGGGCTACAGGGAGACCCTGTCACAAAAAGACCAAAAAAAAATTTTTTTTTTAAATAATACAAATTGAGATATTCCTTTGGATGTAAGAAATATGTCAGTGTTTAACACATGGAAACTAAACTCTTGGAATTGGATGACCATGTGAGTGAGTCCTTTTTATAAGTTTATGTTGAAAAATATAGAATATGTGTTTCCATTGCTAAAAGCAAGTTACATAGAAAAATATGTCTAATGGCTGTTGCACCCATGAACTCACAGCAGTGGTGATTACTTCACAGAGCCTGCATAAGTCTGGCCCATCAGCATTCCACCATGGATGGAGGAGGGGCTCATGAGTCCCCACCCTCCCTGAGGAGCTATAGGCAGTCCGTGGTTTCAGTGGTTAGGGAAGATGGGGGTCACTCTTCTTAGCAGTGTAAATATCTATAAATTGCCCTTGCTCAAGTAAATAACCCCACCCATGCTCATGCAAACAACCTTAGTTAAATGCAGGGGGCACCAAAAAAGAACAAATATATGAAGACAGGAAAGGGACTTGTTGAGAAGAGGTTCAGTGGGAGAGGGGAAGGTGACAGAGAACTGGGGGATGTGGGCAAAGTACATTAGATGGATAAAATTGTGAAAGAGTAAATAAATTTAAAATGTGTCTAACTTAATTTTGTGTTGGAATCTTATAAAATATCAAAAATACATCCTCCCTTTGAATGAAAATATTATCTATATCATAGTACACTGGTGAACATTTAGACATAAAGAAAACTATAAATATACAATGGTTTTTAATCATTATTGTTATAGGACCTTGTGTTGGAGCTTGTTTTTGGCTATCGAGGCAGAGATTGCAGGAATAATGTGCACTATTTAAATGATGGTGATGATATAATTTATCATACTGCCTCTGTTGGAATTCTGCACAATGTTGCCACAGGTAGGAGACCTTAGTGTTCTATACATACACTTTTTAATTTAAACAATTTTATCTAACAACTTAAAATTCCTTGCTAAAACTGTAAATTATGCTATTTGTAAATGTATAACAGAAATAATCCAAAATATTTAAAAATTACATATTAATAGATTTTCTATATTTTTTGAGATAAGGACTGTAGCCCATGTTGGAACTTTCAGTGTAGCACAGGCTAGCCTCAGTCTAGCCATCCTCTGCCACAACTTCCTGAGTTCTGGGATCACAGGCCTGTGCCACTATGCCCAGCAGTATTTCAGTCTCAAGAGAGTATGAACAGAGAAGACTATTTCATAATGCAGAGTCTCGTAGGTCTCTGTTAGAAGTGAAGGCTTGCTGTATGTTCAAGCCGTGTTTTATAATGAAAACTTTGAATTTGCAATTAAAATTATATTTTCCAGCTGGGTGTGGTGGCGCACACCTTTAATCCCAGCACAGTAGGCAGAGGCAGGCAGATCTCTGAGTTTAAGGCCAACCTGGTCTATGTAATGAGTTCCAGGACAGTTAGGGCTACAGGGAGACCCTGTCTCAAAAATGAACAACAAAAAATTCTCTTTTCCAGCATCTTCCTCATGAAAATAGATGGTTTTGAATAGTTGTCTTTGAAAGTAACTGAGAGTAGCTTGTTGGGTGAGCGGTCACTGGGGGGAAGGTGGTTCTGCTGAGGCTTTGGAAAGCCAAGGAAGCTAAGAAGGCTGCTTGTCTGTGGCTCTACTGACGATTCCTTGTTTGACCTAAGAAGGTGAGAAAACATTTCTCTATGTTTATTTAAATGATTAGCTTGATAAAGAACAAAGTTCCCTTAGTATTTGATGACCAAAACAGTGATCCTAGTAATGTTATTTAATTTTGGATTTTGCTTGATTAAACTTCATAAAGCCTTCAAGTCAAATGTAAAAATGTTTCTAGTTCAATTGTTTCCAGTTTTCCTGTTTCACTCTGAATGGATAAAGAGCAAGTGGATTATGTCTCATAATCCCCCTCCCCGGTCAATACCAACCATAAAAGCATCTTTATGCTTTGGTTTCCTAAAGAAAAGGATTCACCAAGACCTCAAGAAATCAGTGACAGGCTGGAGAGATGGCTCAGCAGTTAAGAGTATTGACGGCTCTTGCAGAGGGCCTGGTTTCGATTCCCAGTACCCACGTGGCAGCTAACAACCGTCTGTAACTCCAGTTCCCGAGGAATTCGACACTCTCCTCTGACCTCCGTGGACGTTACATGACACGGGTGCACTTAAACACATGCAGGCAATATATTCATACCCCAAAAATAGAAATAATAAATAAAATATTTTTTAAGAATCAGTGAGAAGTTTCTGTTTAAATAATTTGGACTTTTTAAAAAGTACTACTTAAAAGAAAATCTTCTTTAATTGAGACTTCATATGTCCTTTGGGAGAACAGGGAAGAGTGAAATAGGACAATCAAGAAAGAAATGTGTAAATAATCTCCGTTTGTCCTTGTGATTTTTAGTTTTCTCATTTGTAATTAATCATCCTTCTAGTGGTTGAGAGAAAGGACAGAGGAAAGTAGGCACCTACTTCAGTTCTGAGTGTTTGCTCACCTGTTTGGGGACACACTGCCATGTTCACTGTCTCTCTCTACTAGCTGATCTTACGCCAGTTCAACCAGTAGCCTATCATTAGTTGTTTGTTCTTTCACTAGACTCTCAGTCCTGGAAAATACAAAACATTTCAATTTGAGAAGATTTATTTAGTTTTTTAATTTTTTGATACAGGAGTCTCACTATGTTGCTGAGTCTGGCTGGAACTCATCGTGTAGCCCAGGCTGGCCTCAAACTCAAGATCCTACTCCTATCTCCCTCTGGAGTGCTGGGATTGCAGATGTGAGCTACCACCCCTGGAGGGTTTGAGAACCTGAGTCACAGTCCTCTACCATCTACATCCAACCTACTGGCATGGCTTCATTTCCCACTGAGTTATTTATTTTATTTTACTTTATTTTATTTTATTTTTGTCTTTTTGAAACAGTGTCTCCCTGTAGCCCCAGCTGGACTGGAACACACTATGTAGAACAGGCTGGCTTCAAACTCACAGAGATCTGCCTGCCTCTGCCTCCCAAGTGCTGGGACTACAGGTGTGCACCACCATGCCTGGCTCCCACTATTCTCCCTACAGTCTTTTTATCATCTGCATGCACTACTGTTGTCTTCTAAGAGTATTTCTCTGTCAGTACTGCTAGGTGAATCATTAATTCTCTAATCAAAAAACATTATTGTCTCTCTGCTGCTTGTGTGATAAATATGAAATATGAATAAATACGGCCAGATTATTCAATAGAAAAGTACTTTATGTTTTCTGTGTGATTCTGTTAAATCTTTTTCTTTATGAAACCAGAGAGGGAAGATCATGGACTGCCATCCAAAATCTTCCATAATTCTAGTCCCTGTTCACCTCTTGAACCATATTGCTGGCTTTTGGCCTTCAGGACCTCCACTTTGGCTAAATAAATCATTTACATACATATATAACACTCTCCTGCCTTTGTGCCTCTCCTTAAAGTGCTCTGTTTTCTGGAAAGCCCTTCCTACCCTGCATCATATTTGCAGAATCTGGGTCAAAGCAACTGTCATAATTCTATGATGACAATATTCTTTGTGATGTGGTGGTTAAACCCACAATCTTGTGCATTTTAGGCAAATCACTCAACCACGGAGCTACATCTGCAGCCTCCTGGCATTTTTATTGATAAATCTTATGGTGCTTGGCATCTTCAGCTTGTATTATGTAGTTTATCCTTTTTGGGGATCTGTCCCTTTAAAATTCATTGCCATCCTTAATAATAAGCACTTACGTAGTCAGTGCTCATAATTGAATGATCAAGTAGATTAAATTTTTGTGCTGAGTAAGAGCTGTTATGCCAGGGTGGTGGCGCATGCCTTTAATCCCAGCACTTGGGAGGCAGAGGCAGGCAGATGTCTATGAGTTCAAGGCCAGCCGAGGCTACAGGGAGACTCAAAAAAAAAAAAGAGCTGTTATATCTTAAAGTAAAATAGTAAAATAATGCTATTACATCTTAAAGTTTCCAAAATTATGGAGCTGGAGGGATGGCTCAGCAGTTAAGAGCACAGGTTGCTCTTGCAGAGGAGATCTGATGCCCTCTTCTTGCCTCCACAGGCATTGCATGCATGGGTGCGCTTAGATACATGCAGGCAATACACACATAAAATTTTTTAAATAATTTTAAAAATAATTATAAAGTTTCCAAAGTTAATTCTCAAATTCTTTCTTTATAGGGACTCAGAGTTTCTATCAGGAACATAATGATGACATTCTGTGCCTCACTGTGAATCAGCATCCCAAATTTATCAACATAGTGGCAACTGGCCAAGTAGGTATGTTTCCGTATTTTAAAAAGAAGCACTTTGAAACATTTGTTTTGTTCAAATAAATTCAGCATCCTAGAAAAAATGAAAACTTATTAAATTGGGTGGTCAGAATCTGTGTGCTGCCTGCAGAGCCTGGCCCAGCTATCCTTTATGCTTTGCTGCCAGGGAGCTTCTGTTACATAACTTTGGTTATATGAGTTAGTTCAGACTGCTCAAAATTTAAACTACTGCGTAAATATCCTTTTGCATTCGGAAAGCTGTAGAGCTGAAAGGATGAATGGAGAAGCGAGAAGTTAACTAGAACAAGAGGGACAGGGCCCTCGTTTAGCAAAGGTTAGGCTCGCTAAGAGAGGACTCGGGTCTGCTTCACACTAGTAAGTCCCTCTGCAGGTTTTCATTTTTGTCCTGCATTAGTATTGTTCTGATTGAGCATGCGTATTTAGTTTGGCCTGGCTACCAGTCAGGGGTCACTGTGAGCGCTGCACTGTAGATTTCCGGTTAGCTCTTCAAAGCTGATGTCCTTCGAAAACATGACTGAAATCATTGAGTTGCCTGGGTATCAGTGAGTCATGGTTGCTACACTAGATTTCTAGGCTTTTTTTTTTTTTGGTCTTTTTGAGACAGGTTCTCCCTGTAGCCCCAGCTGTCCTGGAACTCACTGTGTAAACCAGGCTGGCCTTGAACTCACAGAGCTCCACCTGCTTCTGCCTCCCGAGTGCTGGGACAACAGGCGTGCACCACACACCCAGCCATGATTTTACTTTCAATATCCTCATTATCCATGCAGATGTTAAGTTAGTCAGTCAGGAACTTCTCTAGAGTGCCTGGCTCTATGCTTTTTCCCTTCTGTAGTTTTCTCCTTTTTAATCAATTTTTAAAGTTAACATACAAAGTGATAGGTTTATTTATTTGTGTGTGTGTGTGTGTGTGTGTGTGTGTATCTGTCTGTCTCTCTGTCTGTCTGTCTGAGTGTATGCACAAGCCTGTGAGTGCATGAGGAGGCCAAAAGAGAGTTTGATGTTCGCTCTATCGCTCTTTACCTGTTCCTTTGAGGTTCAGTCTGTCCGTGAACCTGGGGCTCATGTTATGTCGGCTAGCCTGGAAGCCAGCAAGACCCTGCAGTCCTCCTGTTTCCACCCCTTCCCCTTGGAGCTGGGGTTACAGGTGTGTGGGGACACCAGTTTGTTACATGGGCGCTAGGATCCAAACTCTATTCCTGTTGATGGTGCAGCAAGCACTCTTAACCTTACTCAGCCATCTCTCTGGCCTTCATTGTACATTTTCTCACTCATCCCCCTCCATGCTTCAGCAGCCTCCCTGCCTCACACGCACCCTTCTTTTCCCCAAATAATCCTCCCTTCAGTTTTCTGTTTTAAAAAGAAAATAGACTGTTACATCACCCACAGTACACAAAATAGTGTCATTCTTTTTATGAATGCATATATCTTGCCCTTATTGATGCTAAATTTTTAAAAATATTTTATTTATTTTTATTTTATTTTATTTTATTTTTTTGTCTTTTTTGCGACAGGGTCTCCCTGTAGCTCCAGCTGTCCTAGAACTCACTATATACACCAGGCTGGTCTCACAAAGATCCGCCTGCCTCTGCCTCCCAAGTGCTGGGATTAAAGGTATGTGCCACCACGCCCAGCCCTTTGTTTATTACTTTTATTTTAGGTGTATGAGTGTTGCCTGCATGTAAGTAAGTGCACCCATATCGTGCAATGCCCTTGGAGGACAGAAGAGGCTGTCAGATCCCCTGAGACTGGAGTTACAGACAGTTGTTAGCTGCCATGTGGGTGCTGGGATTTGAACGCGGGTCTTCTGCAAGAACAGCCAGTGTTCTTAACCGCTGAGCCATCTCTCCAGCCCCCTATGCTAAATTTTTTTAATGTGAACTCATGTTTTCCCTCAGCACAAGGAATGAGGCCTGTGTCCTGGAAGAGTAGAAACCATACTACCTAAATAACCAGCTCTGTGCCTTTGCCGCAGCTATTGCTGGTTAATTTTTGAGTAAATTCACTTATTCAGCAAACTTATTAAGCATCTTCCAGGTATTGCTTTAAGTGCTGGGGATAGAAATAGCTTATAAAAAGATAGACTCATATGGTAAAGGAATTTACAGTCTCTGAATAGAATTCTAGAAGGAATGTTACTTTCATTTCCCAACCTTGTTCCTCCTCCTGTTTTCCTTCCTCTTTGTTAAACAGCCGTGTTTACATGAGTGCTGTAGTTTTCTCTTCTTTCATTTTCAACACTGCTTTGTTTAATGATTGCAGGTAGTTTTCTCTTTTAGATAAGAATTATCATGGTTATAAATTAAATCTTTCTAGAATATGTCCCCTTTCCATTTCTTTCTTTTTATATTAGAAGGCAACAATATAGCAAATAAGAAACAGTCAGTGATCTATCTTTCCAAGTGAAACTCTTAAGAGTAAGGGGAAATGAATTTTAAGACCATGTATGTAGGGACTGGAGAGACGGTTCAGCAGGTAAGAACACTGGCTGCTCTTGTAGAGGACCCGAATTTTGTTTCTAGCACCCATGTGGTGGCTCACAACCTTCTGTAACTTTAATTTCAGGGCATCTGATGCCATAATCTGGTCTTCTCAGGCTCCGGATGTTTGTGGTGCACTTACATACATGCAGGCAAAATACTCATACACATAAAATAAAAATATTTTGTTAAAAAGGTAATGGGTAGAGAGATGGCTCAGCATTTAAGAACACTTCCAGAGGACGTGGATTCAATTCCCAGCGCCCACATGGTGGCTAAGAACTAGCTATAACTCCAGTTCCAGGGAATCTGACACCTTCTCCTGACCTCCAGGGGCATTGCATGACACGGGTGAACTTACATACATGCAGGCAATACACTCATACATGTAAAATAAAATAAATTAAATATTTAAGAAGAAAAGATCATGTATTCAGCCATATGTCTTTTTGAGACAGTCTCCCTGTAGCCCTAGCTGGCCTGGAATTCGCTATGTAGACCAGGGTGGCCTCAAGAACTCACAGAGATCCGCCTGCCTCTGCCTCCCAAGTGCTGGAATTAAGGACGTGCACCACCGCGCCAATCTAGTAATATCTTTTTTAAAAGCAGGGTCTTGCTATGGTAGTCTAGGCTGGATTTGAACTCACAACAGTCTTCTAGTCTCAGCCTTCCTAGTGCTAGAACTATAGACCTATGCCACCATGCCTGGCCACTGAAAAGAAAGTATAAAACAGACTAAAGGAGAGACCAAAGGGGAGAAGAGACATTTCTCCTTCTAAACATTAAAGGAGTTTATTGGTCTTTTGCTGCCAAGTTTATTTAATATTCACAAGTCACAAAACACTGTTTAAATGGTTTGTGGTTCTTTTTGTTAAAAAAAAAAATCAAATAGATTATAAGCCAGGCAAATGCCTGTAACCCTAACATGTGAGAAGTGGAGGCAGGAAGATTGAACCCCACAGCCTCATCTAAAGAAGTAACCTAACTTCTCTAGAAAGTTCACTTATAATATGGTTCTTCACGTAGAACACAAGTCCATTTCTCTGTGAGTATTGTGCTCACTGCTTCCTGTGACTTCACCTTCCAGTTTTGGAGATAACTGTCTTCTCAGTGACCCTCTTCCTTTGAAGGGCCACGTTGTGCATCTTCCAATGACAGTCTGTGGGACAAGGTGTACAAGGAGCTATGAAATTGCATTCCATGGGGGAAGCTTCCTCTGCATGAGCTATGTCTTAAATCTTTGGAATTCCAGAGTTCTTCACTGAATGGTCCTGAACCTACTTTGGGGCCTACCTTAGAGTCCTTTCTCAGTCTGCTCTCCCAGTAGCACATTGTATACTCAGTATGTGCACTCTTAAAGGGTGGCCACTGGGTAGCTACTTGTTCACTGGTGGGTAGGATTTTGGGATTCCATGCTGGGATACATGTCTTAGCCAGTATTGGCTACTATAACAAATACCTAGACTAGATTTTATAAAACTATTTCTCACTTTTTTTGGAGTTTGGACATTAAAGATAAAGATGCTTAACCATTCAAGTTGTGGTGAAGGCCATCTCCCTGAGTTTATGGATGGTCTTGTTGTATCAATATTATCTTTCCCATCTTTCTTCTATCTCTTCTTACAAGAATGCTGATCTTCACTGTGGGCTCCACCCTGTGACCTAAATACTTACAAAGTCACACCTCCAACTACTGTCATATTTGATACATGGTTTGGGGAAACATAAGGGTTCACTTCTGAGCAGCAGTGATAGGAGCTTCCTTGGTTTCTTGTGGTGTGGGATGGAGCTGTGTGGTGAGGGAAGGAGGTTGTGCTGTATGTCCCCAAACTCCAGTGAGTTTGAAACTTATACTAGTACCTCAAGATCATCATGGGAATGTCTCTATCAAGATAAAAGACTGAGGGACTGGGGCGATCACATAGTCTATAAAGTGCCTGCAGCAGAAGCATGAGGACCTGAGTTCAATTCCCAATACCAATGTAAAGAAGCCAGGCATGGTGGCATGTACTTGTAATCCCAGCACTGGTGAGGCAGAGATTGGTGAATCCCTGGAGCTCACTAGCCACTTAGCCTCGTCTCATAGGTGAGCCCAAGGCCCGTAAGAGACCCTTTCTTAAAAAACAAGGTAAGTGGAGACTGGAGCCAGTTAAGAGCACTGGCTGCTCTTCCAGAGGATTGGAGTTTGGGTTCCCAGCACCCACATGGCAGCTAATACATTCGTAACCCCAGATCCAGCAGATCTGATGCCTACTTCTGGCCTCCGCAGGCATTGCATGTGTGGGTTCACTTATGTTTGTGCAGACAAAACATTCATACACATAAAAATAAGAATAGAGTAAGTTTTCTTTTAAAGGTAAATAATGCCTGAGAAAGAATAACACCTAAGATTGACCTCTGGCCCCCACATGAATACAGATGCATGTGCACCTCCACACATACATGCACACACATGTAAACATGCACACACACGTACGCATGCATACACAAAGAGCATGGTTCATTTGGTAATTCTTATCTTTGTTGGTAACTAACCATTTAGGCTGTGACGTTGCTGCTCTTAGCTGTAATCCAGATCCTGTAGCGATCGCAGGACAAGCTTGGCCTCCAAGCCAAACACTCCCATTCTTTAAACTATTCTCCATGTGGCATAGTTTCTAGTTTTTCATCATTTATGTTCATAACTAAAAGTAATATTTATTGTCTGTTTGGCAGAGTCAGATACTTTTTATTCTTTCCTCTTATTCCTGTTCATGATACTATCTGCCTATGTTATCAGTTTAAATCATTATTTCATATGGAGCAATATAAGACTTGACTGATGCAGAAAACTGGCATCTCTTTTGTAGGTTTGTACATTTTCACTGCTCTCTCTTGCTAAGGATTGTCACTTTTTAAAATTTTCTTAGTAAGCATCTCTAATACAAGTACTATGAACACACGCCATCCAGTCTTTCTTGAACATGGAAAGTCCTCAGTTAATGTGAAGAACTTTTCTTGATTCTTGAGTTCTGTGGTAAACTTTGCTGTCATGTTTCTCAGACCAGATTCTTTCCTGCAAACAGAGATGCATTAAACACAAAAGTGCAGTTAGCAATCCATTTTATAAACCGACAAAGATTCATATAAATACTGTCTTTAGAATTGTTATGATTAAAACTTTATGTATCTCATTAAATACACAAATTTAGCCAGATATTGAAAGATCACTCATAGACTGTTAATGTATGTAGATAACTGAAGTGAGTTCCCACTCTCACAATCTACTCAATTTAATGTGATAAACTAATTTTGTATGTGATAATTT